AGCGCCGCTGGAGGCCTTGTTTCTTCCGGCTAGGGCAACCCAGCATCAGAGTCAACATTCAGTCCTCTGCGCGCATTGCGCGTGACTCCCGGGGCCCTGCTTTTCGCCGTTTTTCCGCCTCACAGCCCCGTCTCCTCCCGGGGGAGCCTGGGTCCCCAGGGTCTGGCCCATAACTGGGGCTCAGCGCTGCCGGGTTCGGGGGGGTTCAGTGCTGCCGGTTCGGGGGTTCAGCCCAGGCTGGGGGTTTTATTTCCTTCCTGCTAGGGAAGGAAAGGCGGCTCCCCGCCCTCTCCTCCTCTCCGGCTGCGACCTCTCCGTGCGTGCGCGCGTGCGGGCAGGCGCGCAGCATGTCTCCGTACCTTAGGCTTTTTTTCAGCTCCTCTGATTTTCTTTCTGGTTTTCTCTTTCCTTCTTGTTGTAGAAATTTCAGTCAGTCGACTACCTGTAGCTCTGGGCAATGTCCACTCTACATTTTAGTTGTATTCCATTGAAATTGTTGTGTGCTGCCGCGGCTAGATGTCTACCCGAGCAGCCATCTTGGATCCTCTCTCCACAATCCATCTTGAGTTTGGGTTAATTTAATTAATGGCCTACTACCACAGGATTCATGTTCCTTAGAAATGACTTTTACTCAATTTCAATAAATTGTGATGCCTATTGATATTTTACAAACATCGTCAGAATGCTCCAGAGAAGACTGATGAAGAATGTGGAATCATATTCAAATTCCATATTCTGAAGTTAGTTATCCTCATTCCTGATGCTGCTGCAGTGCCCAGTCCCCACATGCCATGAGCTAAGGAGGGAGATCCCAATGCCAAAACTCTGGCCGCCAACCTGGTTTCAGCAGCCAATTCCAGCTAGCCATGGGGAGTTCCTCCCCACTGATGGCCAGGGACCTGACGCCCTTCCCCAGAATGACTGAGTGGGGAGTGATGGACAGTGAAATGTTCTGTAATGATAAAGCTGCTTCATTATTAAAATAAATTCTAATGATTTAACAACCTTTTCCTAATCCGTGTACTGAATTTTTGGCATTTCTCTTTGCCTAGAAAGGAAGTTCTGATAACTTTACACTATGATAGAAAGGGTTAAGCATATAAAATAAAAGCTGCGTCTTGATGGGTTAATAGGAATTCAAGAGGAAAAGGAGAGAAAGATTTCAGGGAGATGGAAAACTTATGTAACTTCTAAAAGATGCTTGGAAGCTAAAACCTGTCATACATTTACAGATCTATAATTTATTAAAATTGTGCTGTCCTGGAGCTAAAGTACCATCTTAAAATGTCAAGATAATGTTGAAATGGTCCTTTCATTTGATAGGCAGAACAGATGTGACATGAAAATATTGCAGGACAGAGTATTTTAGGTCATTTGTTCAGTCTAGAAAGTCCAAACTGTCCCCACTAGGGTGTCTGAATTGGAAGACTGGCTGAACAGATGGTTTCTCCTTCATTCTCCATGAGGTTGCATTTTCTTGATGGAATCGTGCCAAATTTTTAACAATGTGAAACTTGTTCTAATTTAATGGGTTAAAATTCTACCTAGTACCAGGAAAAAAGGCTACATTCCAAACTTATGAAAATTGGTATATGTTTAAATTGTTACTATACACTGTGAACAATATATTGCACTCTCATCTGAAAATGTTTCTATCAAATTATAGGCTTGACCTTTTATAACATTGCCTATACCATAATGATCATTTTGTTTAAAGACTAGTGGCCTGATGCACAAAATTTATGTACATTAAAAGGGACTTAATTAGAGGAGATATTTTAATATTGCTATTTGCCCTTTCTTTATAATAGAAGGGTCAGAGATGAAAGAAAATTAGTAAAATGCATATGAAAATCTTCCCCCTGTCAGAGTCTGGGGCGTGCTGCGGGACCCAGAGTCAAGTCCCTGCCCACCTACGTGCATCTCGAAATCGCACAAGACCCAGACCCAGCTGCCCCGTCAAGCCCCACCGGATGGGGGGATGGGGTACAGCCTCAGGTCTCCTTGCCTGGCGCCAAGCAGGGAGCACAACCTAAGGTTCCCCGGCCTAGTGCTGGGTGGGGGGGGTGCAGCCTCAGGTCCCCCATCAAGCCTGCTTGGGGGGGGGGACACAGTCTTAGGTTCTCCAGCATATCCTCAGGTCCCCTGGCCTGGCGCTGGGGTGAGGAGTGCACCTTGAGGTCCCCTGTCAAGCCCTACTGGGTTGGGGGGGGGGGAGGCAGCACAGCCTCAGGTCCTCCCTCCCCAGCCCGGTGCTACATAGCCTCAGGTCCCTGCTGATTGCTCGTTACAAGAACCCCACATCCACTGTGAGCACAGCCATCTTGTGTTACAGGAACCCTGCCTCTGCTGTGGGCACAGCCATCTCATGACGCATGAGGGTTAATTTGCATATCATCTCTTTATTATATAGGATTGAATACCAAAGGCAGCCAAAACTGGAATGTAATATTCTGAGAAAAGCCTGGTAGATACAAATGGTTGACCTTATATGTCAAAGAATACCCTTGGTTCTGACCCTGTTTTTGTGGGCAGGCCATGCTGCAGGTGGGACTGGTCTCTGTAAAAGGTTCATGGAAAGAGCTCATGATCAGGCTGTCTAGCCCTGGGGGAGGGGGATCACTAGAACCAGCAGGTCCCCCTGGCCTATGGCTGCCCACACACCCAAGGCACTGCTTCTGCTCTTCAGGCCCCTCCCTGTGATGAGCAGATAAAACCTGGAGAATTTCATTTAAAGAAAATTCCATCAGTTGCTCCACTGGTCTATCACAGGTCTATGTTTAAAAGGAAAATCATTAAATACAAAAGGAGGGAGCCATCTAAATGCACAGCAACCGTGGAAAGGACCACAGTAACTTTGTCAGATGAGTTTGTTACCATCTCAGAGAATAAGCCCACACACACAGATTTTTTGACTCAGAATCAGAAATGCCTGTGTGAATTTGTACACTGTTAATTTTGTTAACAAGAATAATTAAGCCAGCAAATGTACGGTGAGGCCAGAGGAAGAGGGTAATATGAAGGTATTAAAAAGAATAGACCAAGGACTGAGGATATGGAGGTAAACTGGTATGCAGCTGCTACCGAATTCAATTCTGAAGTGAAACTCAGCCTTGTGTCTCAACAGAAAGGGCAGGGAATACAAACTCGAGCACAAAGGTGGGCCAAGTGCAGTCTGCTCTTTCCCTTCCTGCTCTGAGATAAAGTGCCTGAAAGCAGCCTTCAAGGTCTAGAGGGGGAATAAAAACAAAGCTGGGCTATCACGCTTTACCATACAAATGGGCATTTTCTTACCATATACTGACAAAGTATTTAGAAAGTCAACGTAACAGCCTTCTATGTACAGTAGGCTAATAATTGTTAGTTGCACTAAAATATAGTAATTACCAGCATAAAGTAAATTTAGTATTTATCACCTGAAAGGCTGAACCAACATTTTCAGGGATCATTTCTCTACATACAAAAATGGAAAGACATATTAGAAAATCCTATATAATAAAGAGCTAATATGCAAATGGTTGTCACACCCTCATGCCCTTGCACCTTTGTGCCGGGGCCCAGGAACCTGCGGGCCAGGGGACCTGAGGCTACACCACGCTCCCCCCAGCACCAGCATTGAGGCTAGGGAACCTGAGGCCGGGCTGGGGAACTTGAGGCTACGCCCCCACCTGGCGGGGCTTGGTGGGAGTGGGGCCAGCCAGATCTGGGTCTCACGCAATTTTGAGACATGGAGCATGGGCAGGACTTCACTCTGGGTCCGCAGTGCACCCCAGACTTTGACAGGAGGGAGATTTTCATACACATTTTACTAATTTTCTTTAATCTCTGACACTTATATTATAGAGAAAGGGCAAATAGCAATATTAAAATATTTCCTCTAATTCCCTTTTAATGTGCACAAATTTTGTGCATTGAGCCACTAGTCATATAATGAAACAGGCTGGTGATTTTAGGGTATTAAAGCAAAAAAACACCCCTCCAATCATAAAAGACAAAATAAGAATATGAACAAGCTGCATAACTCCCTGACAATAGGATGATAAACTATCTAAACATGATATAAAATACAAATGTGTAACATTCAAAACACAATTGAAAAAAGTAGTAAAGTTATACCAGGACACAGAATGATTTATTTGCAACTATTAAACATATAAACAAAACTAAGAGTAAGAAAATTAGAGACAGATAATATAGCAAAGGGTATTTCTCTCCAACACAACTGGCCATGATTCTCCAAAATGTATGGTCAACAGAGAAAAAAACTGAAGGAAAGAATGCATAGGGTTATTTTAAAGGATGATCATATTTTAATTTTGTTTTGAGCAGAGTTTACCACTTCCTTTTCATGGTTCAGAGTATTTTTTAAGACTAAATTTGTATAAATAATATTCCTTGGGGATTAAAAAGTAGGGGAAACAAAACCCAACCAAAAACAGAAACAAAACTGTGTGGGGGGAGGGGATATAAATTACATTCACTTTCCAAGTAAGTTTGACCCATGAGGGATGGGCTTTACCTCACCGTTTTTGGTCAGATTTGAAATAAAAAAACTGTGACTCATACTGTGTTAAAGATAGGTAAACAATAGTGAAAGCTGTTCTTATAAGGGACACAGACCAACCAATAAACAACAAAAGCCAGAATAGAACCCCAGGATCCAGTCTGGAGGGATGTTTGAGGGCAATGCCAAAAGCCTCACCTATCACACATTTCTCACTAGGCAGCTTACAAATGATTCAGATCAGCGGTCGCCAACAAGTGGTCCGCAGACCTGGTGGTCCCTGAGGTCCCAAAAGCTGGCGACTGCTGATTTAGAGACTGTAAGACTCAGAATGTGAAGCTTGGATTTGAATAGTAAAAGACAAAATTGGGAGTGGTATTTACAAAGGAGAGGCAGACACATGTGCATAGCACCAGATTTTTCAAGTAAGCAAAGTTAGCCCCAAACTAACTGAACTAAAATATTACATTTTCAAACTCTTCCCATTATTTTCCAGAGAAGAAGAAAGCTGTGAAATGTTTCAGCATGGTGATATTCACTAACAGTGTGATCTCAAAACGTGGTTTTCTGTAGCCAAACTGATTCTAAGCCTCACGACTTCATGATATTTCCAGTCCAAATGTCCTGGATGCTACTGGCTTTATACATAAATTGAGACCACCCATTTTTTTCTTTGAAATTGGCTAGAGAATTCCTTCCTTATTGATAATGTATGCAAACATACACACAAATTGAAAACCTATAAATAATTCTAACAGCCAAAGAATACTTTTGATCAGAATTACCCAAAGAAAGTAAAATTAGAAATGATGATATTAAAAATATATTTTAGAGTCTATTCATGGTGCTTAAATATTCAATTTATTGTCTGATTTCTGGATTTTAAATTCCATAAACTTCAGATCCTGAAGGCTTATTGAAAAAGCGAATTTCCTCAATATTAGAAATTCTCTCTGACTTTACTTTTAGAGTTATTACTTTCTACTTTTGAAAAAAAATTGAATATTTATACATGTATATAATGTTAACTGAATACTCCAGTAGACCATATTCCTGATAAATACAGTACAATTTGCATCATACCCAATATTTTAGATTAATGTTAAAACCTGGAATAGAGTACACTGTCTGACATATTTCCCAACATAAATATTTATGTAGAGTATTAAAATTTAAACTGATATTTGGCTTTGTAAGCTATTTTCCCTGTGGACTGTGTATCCATTAGCAGTAGAGAAGTTTTGCAGTTGTGGTACGCTGACCCTGACTTTGCAGAAACAGACTTGGAGCCTCTGGGGCCCTCCTTCCACAAGGCTCAGTGAGTCCGTCTGGGCAGTGCACGCCCTTGTCATGACTCATGCCCTGCAGTGAGGCGTAGGAGTGCTAACGTGCAATTCCAGGACAACACAGACACTATCACTGACAACTTTTTTTAATCATTCCCCCAAGTCATAAAAAAAATATAGATAGATAGATAGATATACATATAGAGATCTGCAACTGTACTAGTTACTTCAAATAGCAGACAAGGAAAATAAGCACTTCATTGCTTGCTTTACAAGTTTAAGTTCATTTTAAGCTTGCTATATTAAGTTTTAAAATTAAAAAAATATCAACTTACTATAAACAATTTAAAATATGTATAATACAACTTCATGGTCAAAACATTTGACTAGTCTATGAAAACAGGGAATACTACATTAGTTAAAGTTCCATACATGAGTTTTCAATCTGTCTCTTTCAAGAGAAACCATGAAAAGGCTGTTTTATTTTATGGGAACTAAGTTTGTTTAGGGATTTCCTCATCACAAAACTAATTGATTGTTACAGGAAAAGTAAAAAAAAAAAAAAAAAAAAAAAAAAAAGGAAGGGGAAACAGAGTGGCTCTCTCCCTATTTGTCACTATTCTCTTCTTAAAATATTCTGTACATAAGCTATATGGACATTCTGAATCATTTACAAATCCATTTTCAAAAATTGAAGAAAAAAGTTTAGAGTCTAAAAGTGTTATTTTATACACGGATTATATAATACATATTGAAAGTACACACATACACACACACACACACACACACACACATCTTAAAGATAAGGTTCTCCAAAGGTTTTTCGACATTCCATCACCCCTGTACTTGGTGGTCTATCACAGTTGTGTGTACTCTTGACTTGACTAGGTGTGAGACGATCGTATGCCATCTTGTATTCTTTATCAAATACATCTGAAAAAAATTCATAAAGAAACAAGGCATAAAGAAATTTATATTAGACTTTGACAACGACCAAGTGTTGTAATACTACAGAACTGCAAAATTAAAGACCAAGAAGGAATCTTGAGGTTTTTTTCTGACAACTAAAGGACCACAGAATTTCAGAGCCGGAAAACGGGGACTTCAGAGTCCACAGCTCTTCAGCTCTTCAGAGTGAGATTACACAGACCAGTGAAATTTAGAGCTTTAAGATACCAACTTTTAAAAATGATTTTCTCAAATTTTAAAATTGAGGTAAATATATATAACATAAAATTTACCATCTTAACCATTTTTAATTTTTTTAAAATTTCTATTATTTTTATTTATTTTTTATTTTTGGGAGAGGGAGAAGGAGAGGGAAGGAGAGGATTGGGAGAGGGGGAAGAGGGAGAGGGAGGGAAACATCGATTTGTTGTTTCACTTATTTATATTGATTCTTATATATGCCTTGACTGGGGATTTAACCTCAACCTTGACGAAATGGAACTCTGCTCTATCCAACTTAGTTACACAGCCAATGCCACTATCTTAGCCATTTTCAACTATACAGTTCAGTGGTATTGCATACATTCATAATGTGCAACCATTATAATCATCCATCTCCATAACTCTTTTCATCTTATAAAATGCAAACACTACATACATTAAACAATAATTCCCCATTTTCCACTCCTCAAGCTTCTGACAACTATCATTCTACTTTAGTCTCTATGAATTTGACTACTGTAAGTACTTTATAAATGGACTCATAATAGAATTTGACTTGTTTTGACTGGCTTATTTCGCTTAACATAATGTCCTCAAGGTTCATCCATGTTGTAGCATATGTCAGAATTTCTTTACTTTTTAAGACTAAATAATATTCCATTGTATGTATATATCACATCTTGTTTATTCACTTATACTTCAATGAACACTTGAGTTGTTTCCATTTTAGCTATTATGAATAATGCTACTATGAACATGTGTGCACAAATGTTTTCTTAAGACCCTGCTTTCTTTAAAAAGATATTTTTATTGATTTAGGAGAGAAAGGGAGAGGGAGAGAGAAACAGAAACATCAACAATGGGAGAGAATCATTGATTGGCTGCCTTATGCATGTCCCCCACTGGGGATCGAGCCATGTGCCCTTGACTAGAATCAAACCTGGAACCCTTCAGTCCTCAGGCTGATGCTCTATCCACTGAACCAAACCAGCAAGAGCAAGACCCTGCTTTCAATTCTTTTGGGTATATATCCAGAAGTGGAATTAATGGATCATATGGAAATTCTTTTTTTTTTTTTTTGAAAATTTTTTTTTATTTTTTTACAGAGAGGAAGGGAGAGGGATAGAGAGCTAGAAACATCGATGAGAGAGAGACATCGATCAGCTGCCTCCTGCACCCCCCCTACTGGGGATGTGCCCACAACCAATGTATATGCCCTTGACCGGAATCGAACCTGGGACCCTTCAGTCCGCAGGCCGATGCTCCATCCACTGAGCCAAACCGGTTTTGGCTGGATCACAAATGGAATTCTATTGTTACCTTTATTATTATTATTATTATTAACATTAGCAAAATGTCAAAGTATCTCATATAAAAAAAAATCAAAGAAAAAGTATATTATAATATATGAATATAAATTATTAAAATAATAAAGACTACTAATATAAAAACTATACTATATTGAAAGTATACACACACATATATTTTATGATATATAAGTATTACATGTTAAGTATTATGCAGAATTACCTATATCAATGTTTTCTCTTCCCAGTGCCACAAGTGAGAGAAATAGTATTTCTCTATATAAACTCCTGGAGGGGAGAATGGAGAAATATTACTATACATATAGTTTATTCATTTTCTACAAAAATTTTATGCTAATATAAGCATGAGATATTCTAACAAATTACTAATATGCCTAGAGGAACAATATGTTCATTTAAGATAATGACTTACCTCTGTCTTTTAAAATGAGGACATTTATTCAGTGTCTCTAAAATCTGACTCATTGGTCCATAGACATCATTCATTTTAATGCTTTTTACCATATTTTTCAATAGTTCTTGGCTAAATGAATTATCACCTTTTTGTAATAAATGGACCATTGGATACTTTTGGGCTGTAAAAGAACCAAGAAGCAGTTAAAGGAAAATGTTCTTTGTAGAAAGGAGAATGTAATTAAGCAGCAACTGATAGCTGGCAAAGAAGTTACAAAGCACTAAAAATAAATTAAGGGCAATAGAAATCTTAAAGTGAAGAAAGAAAAAAGAAAAAAGAAAATAAAAAAGATAATGATAAAAATAGGCTGAAAGCTTTTTTGGCCTCAAAAACAAAACTTAAAAACACTGTTTTCCTTAATATAGCTCCTGGGGGAAGTTCTACATCAGCAGCCCAGATGGAAACAGACAAACAAAAATAAATATAAAGAAGAAATTGGGACAAGCAATATGCTAAAAGCAGAACTCTACAAAACATAATCCCTTCAGCACATATACAACACTACTGGGAAAAAACCCCCCCAAAACAAAACAAAACAAAACAAAAAAACAACAGCAGCAAAAAAACACCCCAAAACATAAAAAAAAACAAAAAACCCTTGACCTCCATAGAAGATAAGCACTAAAAGCATTAAACTTAACACTCACTCTCAAATAAAAGAGTACGATTTTGACCTGTAAGACAAAAAGTAGTATAGTAAAATAAAAGTCAGTTACATTAGATTACTATTTAAAGTAAGTAGAGATTACTCTCATATAAAAAGAGTCAGCATTCTATGATCGCACTTACTGTGGGCATTCCAGAGGATGTACAACGGCTGTCCTGGATCCTGATGTAATTTCATATTGTCCCATAACATTTGTATTAAAACATATTTACTATCTTCAGACATACAATGGCGGGGAATCTGTGTTGAAAAATAAACATTCATTAATGATCCTTACATAATGTTTTGTAAATATCTTATAAATAACCTTATAAGTGTTTTTCGGATGTATGTGTGCAAGAGATAAAGAGAACAGAAAATGATTGGTTTGTATGCATTTTATATTGACTGAAGAAGATGGGCTGAGTTGAGAATCCAATGATCTCTAAAGTAAAGTGATCTCTGCAGATTTTACAAAGTACTGAGACCTGTGAGAAAGGCTGGTATGAAGGGTAACCTCTATCAGCTTATGACTGACGGTCCAAACAAGGCAGCCCCATTCTGCATCAGTCCAAGACCCTAGGCCAGATAACTCTGACTGACTTAACCTTTAGACACTCATTCATCATGCGCTGAAAATCCAAAATGTGCGCACAGT